CCTTAAGTCAGGCGGATCGTGAAACGAGCAAAATCCGTATTTCCTCTTTGTGTTAGTAAAATTGGATCGCATATTTATAGACGGAAGTCGAAAGAGTTTCCATTTGAAATCTGAAATGAGTATGACGCGTTGACGTTGATATAATAACGATTGGGAGATCTGCAATTGCATCCTGTCCCACCCCTTTTCCATTTTCAAATCGTCGTAATGATAACACCAAGAAGGATCCAATTGCTATCCGAGTCCCACATCTCAGTACTTGTTAACATGGTAATAACTGGCCTAGTAAAGAATTAGATCTGTCAGATAAAAAAAGGGATGGCAACGGGGTTATATTTTTATTTTGTATAAAATTCATGAAAATTTTTTATTTAAATATCTGTAAGTAATACACGTATGAATTAGTCAAGAACTCACAGCTGTTACAGGATACTTCGACTATGAATCATAATACGTTAATATTTATTATCATTGCTCTCTAATCCAGTTAATTTACTGCCTGAAGGAAATCACAGAATATTCTCTGAACCAACCTCGAGCTTGTTTCAATTTGACAAGAAACAAAGATATACAGGAACATAACAGCTTCCTATTACTGCTCCCCTATATCGTGTATCACGGTAGGCGTCGTGTGGTGAGACAAATAAATCATGTTCTATGAAAATTTTCCGGCAGGCACTTCGAGAACATTCATGCTATGTATGTATACATATATGTATATATGTATACAAGGTGCTCCGTCACAAACCGAATATCTTGGTAAAGAAAATCCTAAAAGATGTTCAAGATTAAATTTAAATGATTTTGAAGGATGAATGTGATCCAAAAAATTGTTCATATCGCATCGTCATATATTTGACTATCTCAATTTAACATTTTGATATAAAAAAAAGACATTCGTCGATTCCCCTTATAAATATAGATAAGATTATCTTAAAAAATTCCTTATCATCATACTCCTCTTTAGACCCCATAGAAATTTTGTCTTGAACATTTTTTCGTATCTTTAAAAATAAGGGATATTCAGATGTTCCATTTCGAGTGGATCACCCTGCATCTATGCACTGCTATACTGCATTCAATCTATAGAAGAAAGAAATAGCATATATAGTCCCGCTAGAGATTCGCTCTTTGACCTCCACACTCATACGGGCACATATGTAATGTTGAAGTGGGAATACAGTGGCAGAGGTACATAAACGACCGAAGATAATTACATCTTAGCTAGTACTATATATTACACCTATGTACCATATAGTGACGGTTATACATGTAATGCAAGTATATATGTATAGTTTCTTCGTTATAACTTCTCGCATCTTCCATTCGGCACACTCACTGGATAGAGTATATAGCAAGTATGTAACATGATAGGGGGCCGTACATATTATATGCTGAATCTATTCTGATTAAGTTCTAGATAGATACGTACATGCACATTATATAGATATACATATCCATGTACCTAAAGGGAAAACCGATCACACCGAGGACTGGCATATGCCGTTATGCATGACGTAACGTCGTCCCCACAATTCGACTGAATGCATATAACTTACGGACTCTGAATCCAACACCCGCCGGTGTTACAAATTTTAACGGGACGCTGCACTTTTACCCTGTAGCAACGTCGAGGGAGTGCAGGTGAAAAACGAAAAAAAAAATTACTCCAGCGCCCCGCTAATTTTCACTGAGCAGAGTCGCGATGCGTTTGGTCTG